TCCAAATTGTTCCAAGAGCCAGATGACCGACTTGCAATTCTGCACATCCTGGATTTGTTTGTCTAACACTGCTTATGAATCGCGGGAAGCCAAGATTCGTTCAGATTATTTCTTTATTGCTGATGTGTTCAGGTTACTTTGGACGTTTGTTGGAAATTTTTACCAGAGATAACACTTTTCAATGTTACTTCCATGTATTTTTTGTTCGCCGTGTAGCTTCGTGTGTGTCGAGAGAGCTACAGTTTTGTCTTTATAAGGACTGTCCAGCACTGCGTACTTTTTGTCTCTGCAGAGATTCTAACGGCTAAACTTCGGTTTTTTGCTGAACCACTTAGCTCTGATTTAACGTTTGACGGTCGACATCTTGAACGAGTTGTTGCTGTTATTTAGAATGCAATGTTTAGAGTTAGCTCTGTCTATTGTTCTCTGTAATTTATCACATACAAACGCACCTAATATGTTGCAAAGTAAATGATTTCTTGTACCCGAAGCAGATGAAAGGCATACAGCGTTGAGTGTCTGTGAAAAATATAATGGATGAATGCATTCCTGGTTTCATGCAGTTCTAAATATAAACAGTATTAGATTAGTGTACTTGTGCGAAGATACAGTTGGAACTGTTACATCACTTCTCTATTTTCATAGCTTTTTCATCTGTTGTCTTCTCCGTTGTTGTGCAGCTCGAAGAGGAGATATCGAAATTATGCAATCGACCGGTTCAATTGATTGGACAGGTGCTCAATCTGTGATTCATTTTCCGTGGTTCATCGCTTCATCATTTCCACATTTGTTTTTCTATCTTTCCATATATTTCCTCTCGTCCTGAACTGTTTCTTTGCTTGTCGTCCTCTGTTGGCGTTGTTCATAATGCTATTCTATCTCGGTGGTTGATTCGGTTTCATGCAATGTAATACGATCCCGTCGCCTTAATTTCGTTTTGCCTAGTTTTGCTTATTGGGAAAAATATCATTAGTCATTGTTTGCAGATTTTCGAGTTAAAGCTGACCAAGACAATTCACATCTATACATTTGTCGTTATGCAATGATATCGCGTATTGGAAATTCTAAGCAACTGAGAAACTGAATTCGTCCGGTCATACATTATCCTCTCAGAACAATACTAATTACAATTACAGTCAAGTCAAGTCAAGTATTTGCTTTATGCACCCCGAAAGGTGGATATTCAGCAGTCAC